TTTTTTATATGAATGGAATGTTATGTATTAATGTTGCTACGTATATAGTGGTAGTGATAGTCTAGATTAACCTTAAACAATGACTAAATTAGAAAACATTGAAAAAAGATAAGAAATTAAGTAAACAATGATAAAATGTTTTTATTTATTCTAACAGTTTGCATGTGCGTGTAGAATATGTAAAATTCATATTTTGATATGGATTGTATTGTGAGGAATCAACAAATTCCTTTATTTTAGGAGATATCAAATTCCAATTTATATTTCAAATTACATTCCCAAATTTGTAGGCTGTCTAAGTCATAAAGGCTGATTCGGCTTATTCAATTTTATGTACAAAAAAAAGAAAAAAAAATTCGAATTTAATGGTATTGATATATGAGATTGTATGATGGGGGAATAAACAAATTCCTTTATTTTAGGATACATCCGATTTCAATTTATATTTCAAATTAGATTCTTAATTTGTAGCTCCTAATTCATAAATGATGATTCGTTTTTATATAAAAAAAAAAAAAGAAAAACAATTTAAAAATAGTAAGCAATTAATGTTCCTAAAATTTCTAGTTACTATTTATGGTAAATAGTAATTTTTATTATATATATATAGATATCGAAAAAAAGCCCAAAATTCCTCTTCCCAAACAGCAAACAACAACAGTCAGCTTCTAATGGCATGATTGGTAGGAAGGAATGGCATGAGAATGGAATGATCATTCCCTTACTCATTTCTTATCCCATGATTGGTATATTTTTTTAGAAGGAATGACCATTCCAATGGGAGTGGCAAAATACATCTCCATGGGAATAGTCATTCCATAATAAATAGAAGGTTTTCTCATTCCCACGTGTGTAGGAATCAATTTTTGAAAAAATAAAATTAAAAAATATTAATAAAAAATAAATATATAATATATATTATAAATCATGATTAAAATATATTAAATAATTTATTTTTTTAAAAAATTCAAATAAAAAAATTGAAAACTTATTTTATTTATTTTTTAATTAGATATATTAAATACTTATATAAAAATATAACTAAAAACAGCATTTATATATAATTTTAAAATATATTATTTTATTTTTATATATTATTAAAAATATAATATTTTTTATATATTAAAAATATTTTTTTTCATATCTTAAAAATATATTACTTTTAAAAATATATTATTAAAAATATATTATTGAAAAATATTAAAAAATATATATTATTAAAAATATATTACTTTATTTTTAAATTTTATTAAAAATATATTATTTTAAAAAATAAAATTCAAATAAAAAATTAAAAACATACTTTTATTTACTGTTTAATTAAAAAATAAAATATATTACTTTTTAAGAATATATTATTTTTTATATATAATTTAAAAATATATTATTTTATATTTATATATTATTAAAAATATATTATTTTTTATATTATTAAACAATATATTATTCTATTTTTATATATTATTAAAAATATATTATTTTATTTTTTATATTATTAAAAAATATTTATATAATTTATTAAAAGTATATTATTTCTTAAAAAAACTTTTATTTATTTTTATTAAAAAAAAATGATAATGTCATTCCATTGTCTTTTTGCATTCCAAACGCATCAATGACAAAATATGTTTCATTCCATTCACATAATCATTTCTTCAATTCATCCCATTCCTACGAAATTCCATCGTACCAATGATGTCATAATTCTTCTAAGGTTTTCGACTTATCATCTTCCCCATATCTCTCTCATTTCCAAATTTTAACGGTTAATTTTATAGATTAAAATTGGCCGTTCAATCTTTGTTTTTCATATTCACCTTCGAATTTTAATTGAATCTTCTCTTTATTTTAGGGAAAATTGTTCAATTAAAATCCCTTGAGGCTTGAGCCACATAGCCAGTCCTTAGCAATTTAGCATAGTTCCGGACCCGCTCGCCGCCTACCTCGCCATCCACCACAACTGGGCCTAACGTCAACACCGTCGGCGTCTTCCGTTTGGGCCGCACGCAACCACTTTCCCTTCTCCTCCACCTTCGCCCAACTGCCCGAGTCCCCGACGGACGGCTACTCTGTGCGATTATTTTTTACAACAAAGGTCAAACACTAAATAGTAAATTAATTTGAAGCATAAACCGTCTGTGTCACAATAATTTGATTTCATAATTTAGTTTAACATTTTAAAAATAGTTTGGGTGGTTAATTAATAATTAGTTGTTCCTTTTTCCGAGCATTCTTTGTTAATTAGTCATTTCTTTTGATTTTACAGCTTAGCACACAGTAATTCTTTTGAGTACTGATTTAGTGATTTTATTTGTTTGCTTGTAATTCTCTGTTGTAATACCGTAAAGTTAAGATTATGTGTGGAAATTCTGCTTAAGTTTTGTTGTTAACTATCTGTGTGGTAATTCTGAAGTACAGTATGGTAATTTTCTTAAGCTATTTTATTTTTGATTGGAGAACAAATTTGGGATAATTTGTGATTAACTTGTTATAGTTTTGATCATTTTGAAACTTATATTGATTCTGAGAAAACAATTCTCTAGATATCAATTAAAATGTTGGAGTTGTTGGTATTATTTAAAATGTAATATTTTTTTTTTAAAAAAACAAAGTATTTGGGGCATTATTTTTATACTTGGGCCTAACAATTTTCAGGAGCGGCTCTGTTTGTGAGTATAGAATGAGATGGGGGAGATGAAAGGTGGAGAGGACTCGTACGACTTGGAATTCAAAGCAGCGGAAGACGATGCCTGGTACAGTGTCTCGGTGGCGTTGAACATGGTGGCCCAGACCCTTACCGTGAAATACTCGTGCTCCCCGGAGGTGTATCAAGTGACCTTCTCTGCGGGGGGTTTCAAGACGGAGCTGGAAGTTGAGGAGCTGGCCAGGCGTTTCCGACCAGTTTCCCGGCAGGTTCAGGATAATCAGTGTCGTCATCTCGAGGTCGGGACCACTGTGTGCGCCTCTCATGGCACCACCCAACACGATCTCAGGTTTTACGATGCAGTTATTGAAGCAGTGAGTGAGCCAATTAACTTTTTACCAATTAACTTTTTACAGGAATTGCTATCCTCCAATTTATGCATAAATGCATGCACATGTCTTGTCTGCTATTGCTATTGATCATGTTTATCAGATACATCTTGCGAATTCATCTGAAGGTCTCTGTAGCAATGTTTTTCAAATCCATAGCATTCGCTACTTTAACTGCTTTTTGCTGCTTAACATTAATGTTGATGGCTTTTGCACCTCACCATACAATGATACAATACCTTACTCTGGTGGGATATGATGTCCAAATTCCATTATGTGAGTGACACATAAAGTTATTGTTTCTTGCCATGCATACATTAGCATTCTTTTTATGGACGATGTAGGATAGTGAACATTCAACATGTAAAATTTTTAATCAAACCTTTGACCTTTTTGTTAATATCTTGTTTAATTCCAAGAATTGTTTTCCCTACTTGCTGCATAAAAAACCAAATTGCTGGAATCACTCGACTTGCAATAGAAAAAAAAAAAAAAAAAATCAGTGCGAAGCTCTGAACAAAAGCAATCAATCTTTCTCAATAAAGTCGGTTGAGTGCGGTAAAATTGTATCCCTTAGAAACCATATCCAAAGTCTTACAAATTATAGTTATGTATTATGGTTCAATTTAAAGGTAAATAAAGCAAAATGTAGAAAAATGAAACAATACCAAAATAATATGCTATATTCCAGTGAATGTCTATAGTATATATTTCGTTTGACGAGTTGTAAAGAAATGAGTGCAGGTCTCTGGCGATGACTACCTGGGTGAAGCTTGAAAGCAGCCTTAGGGCATCTGCCATATTTCATGTTTATATGTGAATGCTGAGTTTACCTCTTTAAGCAAAACATAGTAGTTTCTAGTTGGATGCATGATGTCAGATTTGAAACTATTGCAAGAGCAATGACAGTGAATATCACATTTTGTAAAGCATTCCGTTTCTCCCATAAGGATTTTTTAATTGACTTTTTCTAGGAAATAAGAGATGATTGTAGAAGATCATAATGGTATGTTTTTTAAGCATATTTCCACTTCGGAAACTCGATTTGATAATATTTAGTTACAGTTGCATAACACAACAAATCACATCATCTGATTAATTTTGGACTATTTCTATGTTGTTATATTGTATATGATTAAAGGTGGAATTGCCATTTGAGTGTTTAGATTTGTATTTTGAGATGATTGGCATCATATTAGTAGAAAGATGCTAGACTCCATGTTAAGATCAGAACCTCTGGATCTAGTTATAGGACCCTGAACATTGAAATCTAGTTGTTGATAACTAGAAGATTGAGTTTTTCTTCCCTTATGACCTATTTTGATTATAAATTTTTGGGCTCGTTAGAGAGAACCCAACGATCTCCAAGAGTTTAAAGACTCAAGAACTTTTTATCAGAAATTTCTTAACCATTCTTATTTCTTAAACCAGTACTTAAACTTACATAAACTTACAGGAATAACTGCTTCTAACTGCTTCTAAACTGCTTCTAAACTGCTTCCTAATTTTTAGCAATTTGAATTATTCATAATATATCTAACCAACAGGCAACAGGTGCCAACAACCTACACAATACATATGCATAATATTATGCCTTATAAACACCTGGCAGAAACTAGCAGAAACTAATTAACAGCCACACTAAAACATTAGTAAAATATCATAACAGAGGATTGTCTAAACTTAATTCTTCTTTGATCTTCGCTGGTAAACTTTGAATGGTAGAACTTTAGCAGTTGTTGACTGATCTTGGATCATAACATCACTTCCCCCCTTTGAAGAGCGCTTGTCCTCAAGCGCAAATTGAGGATAGCGAAGCTGCATATGCTCTACAGATTCCCAAGAAGCATCAGCGGGAGAAAGTCCTTCCCAATGAATGAGAATCTCCTTTAAGCCATCTTTAATTCTCGAATCCAGCACAGCTTGAGGAGTTGGAATAGGAACACCCTTATGAAGAAGAGGTAATGTAGAAGAACAAGTTTCAGTACCATGGAACTTCTTCAAACAAGAAACATGAAAAACAGGATGAAGTTTAGAGCCTTCAGGAAGCTGCAGTTTGTAAGCCACCAAACCAATTCGATTAATAATAGGAAAAGGCCCATAAAAACGAGGAGCTAATTTCTGATTACGCTTAAACCCCATTGAAACTTGACGATAAGGCTGAAGCTTTAAAAGCACCATGTCCCCCACATCAAAAGACACATCTCTATGTTGAGAATCATAATAAGTCTTCATAACATTTTGGGCATGAAGCAGACGTTCCCTCAGCTCCTGCAAAACCACATCTCTAGCACGCAACTCATAATCCACAGCCTGAATGCGAGATAATCCTGGAGAATAAGATAATAGACGAGGTGGTTGTCGTCCATAGACAACTTCAAAAGGAGTGGCACGAAGAGAGGAATGGAAGCTTGTATTATAACAATATTCAGCCCAAGACACCCAATCCTCCCAACCTTTGGGATGGTCACCTGTGAAGCAACGCAGATACATCTCCACTGTACGATTGACCACTTCAGTCTGGCCATCTGATTGAGGGTGGTAAGCAGAGCTAAAAGACAACTTGGTGCCACTAAGCCGAAATAATTCCTTTCAAAAAGAACTAGTAAAAGTGACATCACGATCACTCACGATAGATTCTGGAATCCCATGTAACTTAACAATATGATCAAAGAACAACCTCGCTACCGAAACAGCAGTATAAGGGTGAGATAACGGAAGGAAATGAGCATACTTTGAAAATCTATCAACAACCACCAACAGGACAGATTTCCCGTGAGAAAGTGGCAACCCTTCAACAAAATCTAAAGAGATGTCAGACCAAACCTGAACTGGAACTGGAAGTGGCTGCAATAAGCCTTCTGGTTGGAGGTGTTCAACTTTATTTTTCTGACAAACTGAACAAGTACGCACAAAATTCCGAACTTGCTCCTTCATTCCTTTCCAATAAAATTCAGAAGCAAGACGCCTCAAAGTTTTCTGATATCCCTCATGTGCCTGATGATGAATGGCAGATATTAGAGCCTCCTGGAAAGGAGAATCTGGAGGAAGAAAAATTCTGCCTTTGTAGATAAGCAGTCCATCTTTGAAAGACCAAAAATCTTTCAATTCTCCATTTAAAATCTGATCACGAAGCTGCTGCAAGGCAATAGAAGAATTAATGGCAGCCTTAATATCCTCCAAATAATCCAATTGAGGAGTAGAAATTGCAGCAAGAACAGGAGAATTTTCATACTGGCGAGACAATGCATCAGCAACCACATTTTCGCGCCCTGCACGATACTCAACACTAAAATCAAACCCCATTAATTTGCTCAGCCAATGTTGTTGAGGAGAAGTTATAATACGTTGTTCTAATAAAAATTTCAAACTGTAATGATCAGTTCGAATTATAAAACTCCTTCCCCATAAATAAGGTCTCCAATGTTGTATTGCTTTGGCCAGCCCAACCAATTCTTTCTCGTAAGCAGGAAGTTTGACATGCCTGACAGCCAATGGGCGAGAAAAAAAATAAGCGATGGGCCTATTTTGTTGTTGTAGCACTGCTCCCAACCCCGCATCAGATGCATCACATTCAACAATAAATGGTTGAGAGAAGTCTGGTAAAGCCAACACCGGTGTTGAGGCCATTGCCACTCGAAGAGCATCAAAGGCAGCCTTGGATTTTTCTGTCCAAACAAAAGCATTCTTGCGCAACAGAGAAGTCAAAGGAGCTGCAATTAAACCATAATCTTTCACAAACTTACGATAGTAACCAGTTAATCCCAAAAAACCCCTCAATGCCTTGACAGAATTAGGCAAAGGCCACTCCAACATAGCACTTACTTTACTGGGGTCAGCAGAAACCCCTTGTTCAGAGATGATATGACCCAAATAGGACACTTGCAACTGAACAAAACTGCACTTAGATTGCTTTAAGAAAAGATTATGACTTAGAAGAGTAGAGAACTGCCCGTAGGTGTTGAATGTGTTCTACCCAAGTTCGGCTATAGATGAGTATGTCATCAAAGAAGACAAGAACGAACTTCCTCAAATATGGCCTGAAAACTGAATTCATAAGGGCTTGAAACGTAGAAGGGGCGTTTGTCAACCCAAAAGGCATAACAAGAGATTCAAAATGCCCGTGATGGGTCCGGAAAGCAGTCTTTTCTACATCATCCGGATACATTCGAATTTGATGGTAACCCGAACGCAAGTCCAGCTTTGTAAAAAATTTAGCCCCATGCAGTTCTTCCAACAGCTCTTCAATTACTGGAATTGGAAACTTGTCTTTGATTGTCTTGGCATTCAAAGCGCGATAATCCACACAAAATCGCCAAGTTGCATCAGCTTTCTTGACTAACAATACCGGTGAAGAAAAAGGAGACTGACTTGGTTGAATCACTCCCTTATCTAACATCTCCTGGCATTGCTTCTCAATTTCATCTTTTTGCAAATGGGGATATCTGTATGGTCGAACAACCACAGGTGAAGAATCTGGCTCCAATAAAATACGATGGTCACAATCACGTGTTGGAGGTAGTCCCGTTGGTTCCTGAAATAGACCCTGAAATTCTGCTAACAACCTTTGCAACTCAGAGTCCCTGTCTATCGAAGCAACTGATGAAGAAAATACCCTGGGAAAAATAACACGTGATTCTTTTTCCCCATTTAATTCTATGAGTTGCCTACTCCTAATAAAACTCATTCTCATCAAGTTGAAATCCCATGTGATGGGCCCCAAGGTTTGTAGCCAATTAACCCCCAAAACAGCACCCAAGCCCGGCAAGGATAATAGCAATAAATCAAGAGTAAAAACAGAGTTACCCATAAGAATTGCCACACCACGACAGATTCCTTCACAATAGACTCGTTCCCCATTTGCCACCATGACTCGGAGTTCCTCCTTGTGCTCAATCTGCAAATTCAATTCCCTTGCCAAAGTTGCATCCAAGAAACTATGGGTGCTAAGAAACTATGGGTGCTTCCTGAATCAATTAGCACAATCAGTGGGTACCCGTCCAACGAACCCCTAATCTGCATTGTTCGTGAAGATGTTGTTCCTGTGATGGCATGAATGGAAATTTCAGCATCTTCTAAATTGTCCAGTGTTACTCCTTCTTCATTATGACCATTATCTTCTAAAACCTCAAGCCAAAAGAGTTTCTTGCAACGATGTCCAGGAGTGAAACGCTCATCACAATTAAAACAAAGTCCCCTTGCTTTTCTGTCTTCCAATTCAGCTTGACTTAATTTCTTCACAAAAGGAGAACGCAACTGAACAGGACCAGTTCGTCTCACGGAGGAAGATTCACCTTTGTTGCGATTGCCCCGTCTTTCATATAAACGGGCTAGACTCATGGCACTAGTAAGGTCTGGTGGTTGGTGCAACTCCACTTCAACAGCAATATATTCTTGTAACCCACTAATAAAAATCTGTACTTCTTGATCCATAGACAAAGAACTTGCCCGGGCAGATAACTGTTCAAATTGGCGTTGATAATCTTCAACCGAACCTATCTGTTGCAACTTCACCAATTCTCCCAACTTATTACTTCGAACGGGTGGACCGAATCTCAAATTACATTGTCTCTTGAAATCTTCCCAAGTAATTGTCGGTCTGTCCCTTTCCACCTTCAAGAACCACAATTGGGCATCTCCCTCAAGATGGAAGGAAGCCAACCCCACCTTTTCTTCTGCTGGGGTATTTTGATGTCTGAAGAAATGCTCACACCTATTAATCCAACCCAAGGGGTCTATGGAACCATCATATTTTGGGAAATCCAATTTTGTATACTTAGGAACAAAAGCGGCTGCTTCAGTGGTCTCTCCCATTGCCCTCCTTTCACGTCGACCTCTATTAACACTTCCTTCGCCTCCCTCAGCACGTCCTTCAGGCCTTCCAGTGGACAATTCCCGTGACAATTCATCTAATCGTCCGGCTAGTGCTTGTTGCTGTGCTGCCATCAGTGCACGGTCTTGCTCTCGTTCCTGACGATCTCGATCTCTATTTTCCTCATACATCTTGAGGAAAGTCTCAAATTGTTGCTGAAAGGAACGGAAATCTCCCATAACCACCTTCTCTGATACCAATTTGTTAAGATCAGAACCTCTGGATCTAGTTATAGGACCCTGAACATTGAAATCTAGTTGTTGATAACTAGAAGATTGAGTTTTTCTTCCCTTATGACCTATTTTGATTATAAATTTTTGGGCTCGTTAGAGAGAACCCAACGATCTCCAAGAGTTTAAAGACTCGAGAACTTTTTATCAGAAATTTCTTAACCATTCTTATTTCTTAAACCAGTACTTAAACTTACAGGAAACTGCTTCTAACTGCTTCTAAACTGCTTCTAAACTGCTTCCTAATTTTTAGCAATTTGAATTATTCATAATATATCTAACCAACAGGCAACAGGTGCCAACAACCTACACAATACATATGCATAATATTATGCCTTATAAACACCTGGCAGAAACTAACTAACAGCCACACTAAAACATTAGTAAAATATCATAACAGAGGATTGTCTAAACTTAATTCTTCTTTGATCTTCGCTGGTAAACTTTGAATGGTAGAACTTTAGCAGTTGTTGACTGATCTTGGATCATAACACTCCACCTCAATGCAACATTTATATCTTTCAATTATAATAATTAACATTACATACCTGTATATCCTCATGTAGATCAGTAGATGTTCATGTTTGGAAAAAGAAAATGATCCTTTTTCTTTGTTCTCCAGCGGGGGATTTGCAAAAAAATAAAAATAAAAAATAAAGATATATGAAATGATTATCTTAACATCTTAATGAAGGCTCAAACTGATTTAGTCACCATTTCATTCCTGTGACGTTTCATCCTGTATTTGCTAGGTGAACCACCGGACGCATTCTTTTGCTGGCGAAGAAGAGGAGTGTTTGTGCAAGTTTGTGCTTTTCTGGCTACATGGACGTGGCCGTGGTACTTTAACCTCTAGCAACATCGCAAACATATGCACTTTAGAACCTCTTTCTGAAATTGATCCTAGAATCTCTGCTTTTTTGATATTGGCCAAAGAGAAAGTCCATTCTTCCAAGTCTTTATCTGGTCTTCGCAGTTTTGGGCCAGGATCCAAAGGGTCATCATCTGATAAAAGCAATAGTTCTATGTCTATTGAAAAGAATTTGGAACCGTCTCGGAACAGACTCATGGTAGGACATGTGTTTGTAATTCTACTGTAATCTGTTATGTTGTCCTGTAGTTTGGTTTAAATAGTATAACATGGTTTGTAGGGGACGGAGACTAGCATGACAAGCAAGAGTCTGATGCGTCAAAGTAAGAGTTTACCCTTTTGAATGTCATGTGACATTTATTCGTACATGAATCTGCTCATGAAATTGCAGGAGTAATATTTATCAAGAAGTTTATGTTTATGCATCACACAGTAGGTGTATTCACAATATATACTATACTATGATTCATCTCTCCTCAATTGAAATACTTAATTTAGTGAGGTCACTCTTTCTAATAATTTATATTTTATTGTTTCTTTTTATTTCAGTCCTTTGTATTTTGTTTCTGCTTTGACCTGGCAGATTCGTGGAAGATTAACAATTATGAACAGTGGACAAGTCAAGATGAAGATATAGGGCCACAAGATGGTTTGGCTCTGGCGAAACACCGGCATTTTATTCTAATCCATAATTTGGAGAAAGATATAATCCCCTCATCAATCAAGAAATTCATCTACAAGAAAACTAATATCCTGCCACAAGCATTTGTTTTCCCAAGACAGTCGTTAGACCCATTTGCAAGAGGAGCCATTGTGGTGGATTCTGAAAAGAAGGCTCAGATTATCTATGAATTTTTGGATAATCCGAACTACATAATTGAATCTTCAAGGGGAAGGTATTATTATTTATGGGAAAACGTGTTTGTCACTAAGTTTAATGTGGAGCGTGCATGTTCAGCCTGATCTTTCTAAATTACTTGATTCAAGTTGCTTCAGGAGGAAAACAGAGTATGTGGTCCTTTGTATTGGTTAAGAGACACTTCAAATTCCATGTTGGTTTCTCCATCTGTGAAATTGTTTGAATTATATCTATTCTTAGTATTGTCAGAGATCATATTTGTTGCTGCCACTTGCCACTTTCTGCATTTCAATTGTTTTTTCAACTTACTATTAGTTTTGCTAGGTAAATTTTCATGTATTATTGATGTAACCCTGAACTTTATGAGTGGTAGGGTAATATGCTATTTATGCAGCGTAATTTTCCTCTGCGTACTGCATTTTAATATTACTATCGGCTTTTAGCTTGGGCAGGAGAGTATCTTGCGAGGCTTTTAGTATTTTGCCCTGAATCTTAAACCCTTATTTATGTCCTGTGTGCTTAGATGTGCATTTGTGGTTGGGGAGAAATATTTTAAATCCCGAAGCACCTTCCAGGCACTGTGATATTTGTTTGAGGTTGTTGTAATATGTGTTTGAGGTTGTGAGGATGACTTGAGGCAAGTCGGGAGGCATCTTGATGCGCCACCAGGCGGTTGCCTCGGCTACTTGGGCCGATCTGCCGTCTCTGGCCGTGATTAATCGACACTCTTATTTATCATTGTACTAGAAAAGTGGAGGAAAAGGAAAATATCCTCTTCGAGATAGCTTGTGGATTTTCAAACTGGACTTGGGTCGATAGAATGACTGAGTATCTCACATATTAAAGCATGCAAATAATTTTCCTTCTAACAAGCTCATTTCGGAACTTCCCATTCCTTCTTGGTGTCTATTCTGATCCACTGGTCTTCCCACTTGAAGTACATGCCACTCTTTCTATTGATATCTCTTCACGTTCTAACAATTTATAAGGTTAGCTACCTTTTGTGTTGAAGGATGATACTTGATATTGAGAACTGATAAGTAAGACATGGTCTTAAGTGAGAAAAGCATTAGGACAATCAAGTGTTGTCTTGTGCTTAAATAGCGATTAATCAAGGACATGGGGTAGGCAGGGATTATTTCAATATTTGGTTTTGATGCTCACTCGAAGTAGTTTTCATATTGACATTTTTTCTTTTACTTTTTCTGCTAAAGCAGTTCAAGCAACCCGTGAAATATGTGTTTGGTACAGTTACAGACTAAAGACCGTATTAAGCCGTAGTCATACGATCATGTATATTACAATAGTGCTGGATCACAATTCACAAGTATAGGATTGTTCCCTCTTTTNGTTCAGTATTTAATTTGTAAGGTATTGTTAAACAACTTTGCAGTCTGGTCTCTATGAAGCTTTTTTGTTCACACATTAAGAATTAAAAAAGAAGGAAATGCATTAAAGGATGCTCTCTTCTCCCAATGTCAGTTATACAATAACTAGAAGTTGCTCTAGCGAAACTTAAGTACTTGCTTTTGCTAGTCTGCTGTTATAGTTAGGCTTTTGAAGAAGCCCATTCACATGTGCAAGTACAAACAAAACAAGCATGAAAAAATGTTCTGAGTCCTGGGTAGCGATTCTCATGATTTTTCCTGAACTGTGGATATAATAACATGCTTATTAAGGATTTTCTGATGGAAATTTTTATGCAAGGTTTTTACTGATTAGAATTATTAATTTTTGCTTTCCCTGATGCATCGTTATTCTTTCTCTAGGCCATGGGTTATAACAGAAAAGGCATTTACCAGAACATTGGAAACTGCTTCTTGGAATTTACTCCCCGTGGACCTGGTAAGGATAGTTCTTTTTGTTGGTTTGCTGGGAAATACGAGGAAAATCTCTTAATAACACATTCTAGGCTTCTAACAGCAGGACAGAATAAGAAATACACATTTTTGCTTGTTTAAATGGCTTCATATAATGGACATGCAGTGCCAAGTCAGGTCTGCTTGTGTACATATATTTACAAGATTTCTAATACATTTCTGCTTTGGATATTGTATTTGAATGTGCGATGTGCACATGTTATTTGTTACTTGGTTCTGAAGACATTAAGTAGGTAACCATTTCACTTACTCTATTGTGAAAAACAAAATTGAGCAGTTTACAAACAGACACCACCACGACAGCCTTGCCACGCTTGACAGAAGAGTAAAGATCTACAATCTTTTTAAATTACATCTGGTATATCATACTGGATCAGTTTTTTTCTGCTGACAATATTATAAGTAAAAACATTTAGCTTGAATCAGCTCTGATAGAGANAAAAAAAAAAAAAAATATGGAAGAAATTTTCTTTTACTATCAAGGAAAAGCAAAGATAAGGGTGTGATTGTTTATCAATCCAATTAAAAAAAAACCAAGCAAAACTCAAATTTAACTCAACTTTAACACAACTCCACTATTTCCATTATTACCAATATAATTAAATAATTCCAACCAATCATTCTTACACATCACATCAACTTTAATTCACTATTCATCCACTCACATAATTTTAACTAACCATCATTTCCAATCATTTTTCTCTTACTTTTACATCTATCAATTTTAATTATTTTATTTTAAATATTATTTTAATATATCCACTAACAACTAACTATACTAACTTTTCTCAAAAGTAACTATAGTTAAAAAAAAACCAATTAATTTCTAGATGAATTGATAAACAATCACCCTCTTAGTAATCTGATACTTCCTCACATTGTGCGCATATAGCATTTTCCCTACTGCATGTCCGACAAATTTCATTAAAACAACTTGGTGGGGCCATCCATGTGAATTTATATGGCATGCATATTACAAATTCGTGAAAGCCATTCCGGTTAGACATGGCCAAAAGCCGGTCCGCTGAACTACCGGTTAACGGTTCAAATGAATCTGTCTGGCATACATATTGTCCGGTTCTGTTGATATGTTTGCATGCATCACTTCCACACATACCAATTTCCAGATTTTATTTATCAGTTAAATGTCGACTAGTGCAGGATGAAATTCAATGTGTGGAAGCCGGTGAAGAGCTAAAGATAGTCCATTCAGGATCGAAGTCTTACGAAAAAGCAAAGGCCTTGAGGGACTTGGTTGTCGAATATGTGCTCCATGAATCACGAATGTTCAACAAGTTAGTTATGGAAGAAAAGAAGATTTGGAGTTCATTCGAGCTTGGAATAGACTTTTGATGAACACAATTCAACAACTTGATGAAGTGTTTCATGTATTCAAGAATGATAGTTTTGTTTTGTCAGCATTTTAAAAATAGTTCAGTAGCTGGGCAAGTACAAAAATACTCAAAAAATTGTAGTGTTTCTATTATCGCGTTTTTCTTGAAATACCTAGGGTAAATACTGTTGTCACACACTATTTGCACTATTTCCACGCTACAATATTAAAAGAAAAAAAATTATTAGCAGATTATTTTTCTTATTATATTAGGGTCATAATTGAATTTTGACTTAAATATTAGCAATATTTAATATTTAATTAATTTATATGACTTAAATGAACATATTTATTTTTTCTATTATATCGTGCTCATGTAGTTTCACTAAATCCTAACACCAAATCTTACATTTATTGTTTCTTTACATACTTTTCTCGTACATTCTTTGATTGTTAATAATATTATGGAACTTATATCAGACATTCTTTAATTGTTGTTAATAACATTTTGGTAGGAAAAAAAATGTTGATGGTGACCCATATGATAGAATGTAAGAAACACACACAATTCATCAAATATGATACTTACAAGGGATTGTCTAAGGTCAGGTACCCCTTGTACCTACTTAACATCAGGTACCCCCTATTTCACCTTTAGATTGACTAAAAAATAAAAATCAACGATGGATTCAAGGGTACAAGGCAAAAAAGAATTTTGGTAGCCTTGTACTTTGTCTCGTACCCCTCTGGTTAAAAACTTATTATAACCTTCTTACTCTTTGTACCTATTTTATTTATTCTCAAGCCCCTTGTACCTATTTTATTTATTCTCAAGCCCCCACATAGTTATCTAATTTATATAACAATCCTACAAATTCAAAAATCATCACAACTATTTTACGATTCCAATTTTTCTCTTCATTTGGAAAACAAATACTGTTCTTCTTTATCTTCTTCCTCATTGTTCTTCTACATACGAATCCGACCACCTCCTTCATCCTCTACTCACGATACAATATCATAACAATATTATGACCCCAACATATATTCGAACGATTTACGATCAATATGTATCTTGTCGATAGAATATTCTATATAGAGTTTTCAACCGCACGTACGATTCATTGAGGTACTTTATTTGGAATGTGAAGTATGATTGTAAGTTCTTGGCGTGCTTCTAATATTTGTTGTGAATTTTGTTATGTAATTCTTGGCTACAAAACTCTTGCAGTGGTGTTATTAACATAGGTTTTTTGGTGAAAATTTTCGCTTTGGCTGTGCATCCTTCTATTGTAATTGATTGATACGAATAATGATTTGATGTGAGGAGGTGGATTTGTTAACTAGCGGTTGATTGTTGATAACTTGGTTTTGTTGTATTTTTAAAAGCACATTACGTGTTTGATGTAATGCCTCACTCGGGATAACAAAAACAAGAAGGTAGTGAAGAAGCTTGCTTAAAATTACCATGCTTTCTTAGCCTCTGAAGTTGTTATCAAATGGATTATCTGTCTCTTGTGACATGGTCTTAACAATTCTGACAAGTTCCCGACTCTCGTGACTCACTAGGAATCACTTGAGTCAAAGGTGAATGAAACAAAGGCCATGGTGAAGTTTCAGCTGTAGAAGGTGGTCTGGCTAGAATCAGATTTTCCAAAACGTGCAAAAGAGTGTCAAATTCCTAGTGAGTGTACTGAAAAAGAATATGTAGATTGTGAGGTGTTTGCACTTAAAGAGCACAATGGGAAAGCCACAACGTATCTATTATGAGTGTATGAGTGCGTGCACGATTGAACATTTCTCGTTGGACAAGGGAATATTTTGATTTTCAAATGTTGTGATAGTTTGTGCTCAGGTTGACCAAGTTTACCTAAATTATTTTGCTTATGTTCAGCTGGTTTGCTTTTACAACTTTGCTTATAACCTTGCATTGTTTGGTATTTACTAATACATTTTGTTGAAGGAAATATCTATGAATCACTTTGATTTGAAAAAAAAAAAAACAAAACAAACATCTGTTATTTATGTTTCTGGCAGTGACATCCTAATTGTTATTTGATCCCGTTACATGGAATGAATATGCCACCATAGTTGTTTCAAGGATTGGATATGCCATCATTTTTTCGTGATTGAATCAACAAATTAAGAGAAGAATTACATTGTCCATCATTGTTACGTGGAAGGTTACATGGGTTCTGCCTATCAAGAGCAAATTGAAAAACTTCATTTGGAGATGTTGGCATGAGTTTGTAGGGACTAGTGTTCAACTGAAAAAGAGAAGAATTGAATGTGGTGTCATCTGGTGCTGCTATATGGACAACAAGGAAGCTGTCATCTGGTGCTGTGTGAATTTGGAAGCAGAGGATATGAGAGCTGCAGCTGTGGGTGAATTGAAGTCTTTGTGCTCTTCTGTTCATTCTTGTAGTTTTATTTTTGATAAGGATATTTGTATAGTTTTTGCTTTTTTAGCCCTATCTGGCTAGGTTATGGAAGGAAATTTGTAAACTTGGCTGTTAACGTGTATGGCTGTTTNTTGCAGACCCAGACCTATTTAGGTCTCGTTGATGTAAAACAATCTTTGTGAGCTTAATATATTTTATGGTTTAAATGTGGAAAAAAAAAGAATCATCAAATGAAGCAACAAGAACACTACCTTGCTCTTGTTGGATCAAGAAGCAACATCTTTTGCAATTCACACGATTCAATATTCATGGTAAGAATCCATATGTTATGAAAAAAATAACACCTCGCATTATCTCTTAAACTAAACAATGGACCCTACTTTCTAGAGGGCTGGGAAAGAATATGTGAAGGATGCAGCTGCAATGTTGGAGTTTGAGTTCGCAGAAGGAGGGCTTACAAAACATGCAATCAAGAATATCAGCCATGTGAGTAAATATAACATGTTAATCTTATTATATAACATATTCATCGTATTATGTAACATGTTCATCTTTATTTTTAACATGTTAAATGGATTATGCAACATATTCATCTCATAATGCAACATGTTCATCTTATTATGTAACATGTTCATCTTCATTTTTAACATGTTCAATGGATAATGCAACATATTCATCTGATAATGCAACATGTTCATCTTAGTATGTAACATGTTCATCTTATTATAGCACATATTCATCTTAATATATAACATATTCATCTTATTATGTAACATGTTCATCTTCATTTTTAACATGTTCAATGGATTATGCAACATATTCATCTCATAATGCAACATGTTCATCTTAGTATGTAACATGTTCATCTTATTATACCACATATTCGTCTTATTATATAACATATTCATCTCACAATGCAACATGTTCATCTTATTATGCATGTTCATCTTAATTTATTGAATGTTGCAATTCACACGATTCAATATTCATTTACATTGCAGACACTGATTTACAAGTTAAACACTCCATTTTCATATACATTGTGGATAGTGATTTATAAGTTAAACACGCACTATCGAACGTGAGCTAGTTGTATATTTCAGTATACAGGCAAAATTGTACACAAGTATGTGAACGACCCCAAATTAATTACTTTTAGGCATAACTGGATGACACCAAGCAGATAACCAAAAGTACCATCAAACAACGGATGAGCTGCAAGGATAAGGTTGAAAAAATAAGAAAAAGTATGTTCAACCATACACATTCACCTCCACATCAGTCTAAATCAATAGACATTGTTCAAAATTCTAAACCATACACGTTCACTTCCACATCAATCTAAATCAATAGACATTGTTCAAAATTCCACCTCGAATGTCAAATCCCCGCACTCAACTTCGACTTTCCTAAAAATGATAATTATTCCTTGAACTATTTTAGCATAATGGATGAAGTCCTTCAGTCCTGTTAAGATGTGTTTGGTCTCTTCTTTCTTCGCTTGGACCATCCACTGCTTACCCCCATGACGAATATGAGCAGATTGAACTTCATCATATGTGCCTCTCAATGCTTGATTCCAGTACGGAGATGGAATCGCCTTTTTCATATTTAATTAAAAAGAAAATGCATTACTACTAATTCAGTGATACTATTAAAATAACACATGCAAAGATATTGAATTTAATTGAAGATTAATCAAAATTATATATTTGCAAATACATATTTGTTACCTGTCAGCCGCGGGTAACAAGAGTGCGGGAAGCCTTTATACGGAACACACCAACAAGTGCTTCCTCTTCCATCTCATCCAATTTCTCATCATCTTGATTGCAAGGTCCTAAAACAGATCTAAGGCCTCTCCGAGAGCACGAAGTGTCAAAATGGTAGACAATGAACCTGTTTATTCACATCGATTTTACTCTTCTGAGTGTTAAATTTATTAAAATAATTACCATTTGACCCAAAAAACAAAAACCGAACCTGTTTGGGCTTCCAAGTTCGAAAAGAAGTATGTGACCCTCTTTAACAGATTTTTCCCTTTTAAAGTCTTCCCATCCATCTGCAAACCCAATCTCTGTTCCAAGACGTTTTACTACAACCGGCCATTTGTATGCATCATACCCCTCGTTGTTCTGAAATGTGCATTCAATTGGAAGCAAATGTTTGACAACGCTCTTAATTGGATGGGGAATAGCCTAAGAAAAAATACGGATGTGATGAGAGATACCCTATTAGTTTATAAACGCATGTATAATAATTAGCCAATAAGTGGCAAGCGGAAATTAGGAAGCATAAATAACTGATGAGATTATACATACATACAAACAGATGTTATATAAATCAAGCACAATGCATTGTGCAAAATCAGAAACATAACACTTACCAAATTGTTGTTGTTGGGGTTGATGACGTTCATTAACATAAAGCGGTTAAGCTCCAACAAGTTAGGGCGACTGCAGCCAGTTGCGTTGTCCACATGACAACGGTGGGTTACTCGATTTTTCTGAGTCCAACTATGATCGAAGTGGTAAAACTCAAAATTGTCCGGTTTCACTAATTTGAAAGCCAAAAAATCGGCCCATTTGATATCGTTCTGAATGGTGAAATCAACCCATCCCTCAGTAAGACATATATTATCACTCCAATTTTCTCCACTTTCATATCCCATTTTCTTCCACACTCGATTTTGTCACTATGGAATGTACAGTTTAGTGGTAGAAGGCCATTGAAATATCAATTAATTGCATGGGGAAGAGCCTATTATGCACAATATCAAAGGTGTGCAAAAATAGTAGGATCAGAAAATTTAGGGTTTTCTAGAAATAACACATCACATAACTTAAAATA